GGAGGAGGCGCTGGGGCTGCGGCCTGGCCTAGGTGCATTTGCGGGGTTTTTTTGCGTTATTTTTTGTGGTTTTGTGCTTTTTTTTGCCCGCTTTTCTGTGTTTCTACACGTGTTTTGCCTGCTCTCAGCAGTGGTGGTGGGTATTGCAGCCAAACGGGGCCGCTTTACTGCAGGTTGTTGTTTATCGCCTCACCTGTGTTTTCTGTCTCGCCTCAGGAAAAAGTTTGGGCTCTGCTTAAGTCTTCGGCCGGATCCTGGAAAAAATTGAAATGGCGCCGGTAAAACCAACGAAATCCTCTCTCGTTGTGCCCCCCTCGCATCTGCTCCTGGGCTAATTTTCTGTGCGGATTTGGGACCTGGAGTGGGGTAAAAATGCCCGAGATCAAAGTCACCCCCTTGGGTAAGTCCGGCCTAAAATCGCCTTGAAATGGCAACACTGAAACCCTGGGGGAAATTCTGGCTCATATTTGGAATCCGTGATGTGATTCCTCTCTGCCCTCCATTGTTTTTTCCAGTGACCATTATAACTGTTTGGATTAATTAATCAGGATTAATTAAGTTATTCTTGTAAAGGTACTGTGGTGTTGTGGAGCATTAATTCACTACAGTGCTAAAGAGCCACAGGAAGAAAATATTTCTCATTTTTCCCTGTTCAATCTTTTTTTTAAATGTGGTTTGTATTGAGAGGGCAGAGGGTGTACTGAGCAGGAGATCTGCTTTATCCTCCTGGATAGTTTTCAGCCTTGGCGTGGGTTTAACTTAATAAGGCTTAACGAGGGTAGAGCAGCTGGAAAAGGAGTTCTGATCCTTGCCAGGTGAAGGATTCTTCTCTCTTCCTTGAAACTGCAATTGCAGGAAGTCTGTGCAGACCTTCGCCAGCTTTTATTTTGAAAGAATTGCAGCTTTTCCCAGAGGTGTTTTACCAGTGCCTTACTGGTGTTTTATTGGTGTTTTGCTGGTATTTTACTGGTATTTTGCTGATGCTTTGCTGGTATTTTGCTGGTGGTATTTTTCTGCTGTTTTCTTGGTGCTTTCCTGGTGTTTTATTGGTATTTTGCTGGTGATGCTTTATTGGTGTTCTTCCAATATTTTGCTGTTGTTTTGTGATGCTTTCCTGGTGTTTTGTTGGGGTATTATTGGTATTTTCCTGGTGCTGTTTTACTGGTATTTTGCTGGTGTTTTGTGATGTTTTCCTGGTGTTTTACTGGTTTTTCACTGGTGTTTTGCTGATGTTTTCCTGATGTTTACTGTTATTTTGCTGGTGGTGTTTTACTGATATTTTGCTGATATTTTGTGATGTTATCCTGGTGTTAATCTATTGATGTTTTTCTGGTGTCCAGGTGCTGGCCAGGACGTGGGCCGGAGCTGCATCCTGGTGTCCATCGCTGGCAAGAACGTGATGCTGGACTGTGGGATGCACATGGGCTACAACGATGATGTGAGTGTCCCCTGGGCCAGCTCCTGTCCTCCCTTCTGTCCCTCCTGCACCCCTGGGCTCCTCCATCAGCCCCTGCTGGGGCTGGGCTGGGGCAGAGCTGTTCTTTCCCCTTCCAAAATCTCCCTTCCCCTCAAGTGTTCCATGAAATATCAGCCCTCCTTTCCCTGTGTCCTGGTTTAGGGCAAATTTGTTAAAGAATCTGCAAAGGAGGGCCCCTCCAGAAAGCGAAACCCACACGGCCCCTCCCCCCAACCGGTTCGGGAAAAAATTCCTCGGAGAGAGGAGGAAAGAACCTGTTTATTGACAGGCACGGCACCCCCCAGCACACAAAATGAACAATACCCGATGACACCGCTCTGAGAAAGATGACAAAATCAGAAACCCAAACAAAACTTCCACTCTTCAGAGCTGGTCTTAAAGGCACAGAACAGATGAATGGGGATATACAAGCATCATAACGTCACCCCAGGACACCCTGGCTCGTGGACTTGGGGAAATGTTTATTAATAATGTTTATTAATGCAGCTGCAAATGCTCCATTCCAGCTGGGGTTGGACTCTCTGGGTTTCCTCTGAGCAGGAATCCTGTCCTAAGCTTTGGGGCAGCTCATTCCACGTGGGATCCTCACCACAATTCTGCTGCTCCAGGGAGAGAGAACGAAACTCCTGATTTTGGCTTCCCTGACCCAGCAGGAAAGGAATAATGGCACAGATATTCTGTAGGATTTAGTTCAAGCAGCAAATGTGCTGACAGGAAAGCTTTTGGGGCTTTGTACTTCAAAGCCAGGATGTGATCAGTTCCTGTTTTATTTGGGAGGTAAAATTATTTATTTATGAAAGGGTCAGTTTCTGTTTGTGCTCTCTTTTCTGCCTCTCCCTGCACACAAAAACTGCCTGAAGAGTGCTCAGCACATTCCCAATGTCCCATTTCCTCCATTTTTGTTGGATCACTGATGCTGGTGCTGCCTGGAGAGGCCTCAGCACATTCCCAATATCCCATTCCCTCCATTTTTGTTGGATCAGTGGTGCTGGTGCTGCCTGGAGAAGGATCAGTACATTCCCAAAGTTCCAGGCCCTTCCCTCCATGGTTTTATTGGATCTGCTGTTGTCTGGAGAAGGATCAGCACATTCCCAGATCCTTCCATCCATATTTTTTTTAAATTAGGGGTGCTGGTGCTGCCTGAAGAGTGCTCAGCACATTCCCAGCATCCCGTTCCCTCCATTTTTGTTGGGTCACTGATGCTGGTGTTATTGGAAAAGGATCAGCACATTCCCGGTGTCCCATTGTCCCATTCCCTCCATGTTTTTTGGATCACTGATGCTGGTGCTGCCTGGACAGAGCTCAGTACATTCCCAGTGTCCCACTGTCCCGTTCCCTCCCTGTTTTTGGATCACTGGTGCATTCCTGCTGGATCTCCTGTTTTCCCCGGCTGTAGAGGCGCTTCCCTGACTTCTCCTACATCACCCAGAATGGCAGGCTGACTGATTTCCTGGACTGTGTCATCATCAGGTGAGGCTCCTTCCTTCTCCCACCTCTTTTTGTGCCATCCCAAGCCCACCCCTCATATTTTACCTGCTTTTTCCTCCCTGAGAAGATCTGGGAGCCACCCAAACTGAACTCTGTGCAACGATTTAGGTGTTTTTTGTTTTTGTTTTTGTTTTTTTTTTTTGCAGCCACTTCCACCTGGACCACTGTGGGGCCCTGCCCTATTTCAGCGAGATGGTTGGCTATGATGGCCCCATCTACATGACCCACCCCACCAAGGCCATCTGCCCCATCCTGCTGGAGGACTACAGGAAGATCACCGTGGACAAGAAAGGGGAAACCAACTTCTTCACGTCACAGATGATCAAGGACTGCATGAAGAAGGTGGTGGCTGTGCACCTCCACCAGACAGTGCAGGTCAGGGGGCTTGGAGTCAAGAGGGTAAATTGGAAATGTAGCTAATTAATCAAGAGGTTAATTTGGAAAAGTAGCTAATGAGTCATGGGGTTACATTGGAAGTGTAGCTAATTAATCAATGAGTTGTTGGAAATGTAGTTAATCAAGGGGTTATGTTGGAAATGTAGCTAATTTATCAAGGGGTTAAATTAGGAATATAAGCTAATGAATCAATGGATTAAGTTAGGAATGTTCATAATGAATCAAGGAGTTAAATTAGAAATGTAGCTATTAGGCAAATTCTCCTTCCTCCTTTTGAGTAAATCCAGAGGGATTTAGATTTCCACATATTTCCAATTGGAGTTGAAATACTGGCGTTGCTGAGTGGTTTGCTGTTTATATTTTATATCTATATAAAGTTGAAGTGCTGGCAGTGCTGAGAGTTTGCTGTTGGCAGGTGGATGAGGAGCTGGAGATCAAGGCTTACTATGCAGGCCACGTGCTGGGAGCTGCCATGTTCCAAATCAAGGTTGGCTGTGAGTCTGTGGTGTACACTGTGAG